AAAAAAAAAACAAACAAACAAACAAACAAACAAAGACCTTCTAAATTACCCACTCAAATTTCCTTAGGCTATGTTTGATAAACAAATATGCTAGCTTATAGCTTATTTGGTTAGCTTTTAAGTTCCCTGTATTCAAATAAGTCTCGTTTGGCATGACGAGCTTTTTTTAAGAAGTTCGAGCTTGTTTGATAAACTTATTCAGATAACTATTCAAATAAGCTAGTTAATTTTTATTCCAGCTAGCTTATCAGCTAATTTACCAAATACTTTTATCATATAAGCTAGCTTTTCAGCTATAAGTCATAAGTTACAAGTTATAAGCTAAAAAATACTGATAAGGTATAAGGTAGCTTATCAACTATCACCTAGATTATCAGCTAGTTTTACCAAACATAACCTTAGTCAAACGCAATTCGAGTATGTAAACTATAAAAACGAGTCAAGGTCGATTATCCCAAAAGAAAATACCTATTAAACTGATCACAAGAATACCTGTTACAGTACCTATTATTCGAAAACCCACACGCAGAAGAAGAATCATAAAAAAAATAAAAATAAAAACAGTCAAAAAATTGGGAGAGAATTTTATATTTTTCTTAATTGTTTGTTTTCACTTTTGTTTGCACTAGTTTTGAGCTCGGGCCGAGACCTTTTCTACTTTTTTTTTGCCGAAACGGATAATAATTTATATAAGCTCGAACTATGTTTGTACAGAAGGGCGTACTCAGAGACACTTGTCTTGGCAATACAATGCAGCCAAGTTACCAAAAACAACAAACTATATACAAACACAAAGGACTAATCTGCTACAAAGACATAAACACCACCCCAAAAACAAAAGAGGCAAAATAAAGCAAAAGAAGAACACAGACTAAAGAAAGTTGGGGAGGAATTCAACCACTGAGCAGATCAACTCCTAGCTAAAAGTCCTCTCCAAGAAATCACCAGAATTGCTGCACAAGCAGGCTCACCACTGAATGAAGATCCCTAGCAGCCTCAAACCGCAGCAACTCCAGAAAGAAGAAGGAAAAACAAGAATCAAAAGGAAATGAGAAATGAAGCAGAATAGAACAAAAGGGACTTAGCCTGCCAAAATGGATGATTCTTCAAATTCCCTCCACTCAAACCATGCCCTTCTGGCTATATCTACTTCAGGAATCCAAACTTTGTCAAAAAGCCAAGTGTTGCGAGTTTTCCACAGCCACCAAAGGATGTAGGTTGAGAAGTGAACTTTGTCCTTAATGCAATGCATCCTTTGGTCGTGGCAGATTTCAGACCATCAAGACTTAAAAGAATCATTACAACATTGAATGCCACTCCAGTCCAAACCTGTCAGCTTCCAAACAGTAGTAGCTCTCGGACAGTGGAAAAAAATATGCTCTAGGGATTCTTCTGTTTCTCCACACATACAACAAATTGGATCTACTGGCAAGCCTTTCTTAATTAATTGATCTTGAGTGCTTAAAAATTTAAACCAGCACCTCCAGATAAAATTCTTTATTTTCTGCTTAACTTTAAGGGACCAGGTGTATTTCCAGATAATTTTCTCAATGCTTCCAGTTCTGCTAGATTCAGGTTGTTGAAGAGAACTCTTTTTGGATTTGAGAAGAGTAAAGTAAGCTGACTTCACTGAAAATTTACCTTTTTTGTCTGGTAGCCATTTTCACATATCAGGATGATCAGTTCTGTGTAAAGGGATTTTGAGAATATGCTTGGCTTCATCAGGGCTAAATGATTGCTCAACCAGATCAATCTCCCAGGACTTGCCAGAATTTGTCAGTACATCACTAACCTTTTTCAGCCTGATTGAGTCAGAGGAGAATGCCTTTGAAGGGGTGAAACTCACAATGCCTGGGACCCATGGGTCAGACCAAATGGAGATGTCTCTGCCATTTCCAACTGCTTTAATAACCTTGCCTTGTAAGATGGGTCTGATCTTGAGCCATGAGCTCCATAACCATGAGTCAGAAGTCTTGGACTTGGCTTCCCAGAGAGTGGTGGAGGGGAAATATTTGCCTTTTAAAATTCTGCTCATAAACAATTGTGGCTGAGAGATAAGCCTCCACAGTTGCTTGGTTACAAGAGCATCATTAAAGGATGTTAGACATTTAAATCCCAAGCCTCCTTGATCTTTTGGTAGTGCCAGCTTCTGCCATGATGCCCAATGGATTTTGTCCCTACCAGCTGCATTTGAACCCCACCAAAATGATGCACATAACCTGCAGATATTTTTACAAACTGCAAGGGGAGTTTAAAACAAGACATAACAAAAGTGGGCAAAGCTCCAATCACAGAGTTTAACAAAATAGCTTTGTCAGCTTCACTAAGAAAAATATTTTTCCAGGAGGATAATCTCTGAATAACTTTATTAGTAACAAAACTGAAAATATCTCTTTTAGATCTGCCCAGCCCTAGAGGCAAACCTAAATATCTAGTAGAGTGGACAATATTAATACCATTAAGGATGGAAACAATATCAGCCTTTACAGATGGGGGAGTATTTTTGGAGAAAAATATAGAAGATTTATGCATATTAACTTGCTGACCAGAATCCATGCCATATAACCTAAGGATGGAAGAAATCAAAAGAGCTAAGAGGTATCTGCTTTGCAAAAGAATATGGAGTCATCAGCAAAAAAGAGATGAGTGACAGGAGGAGAAGATATACTGATTTTAATGCCTTGAAAAGAGTGTCTGACTGAAGCTTGCTTAATAAGATTAGATAGAGCTTCTGAAATAATAATAAAAAGATAAGGAGAAAGGGGGTCTCATTGCCTAAGCCCTCTAGATGGCTTTAACAAACCTAGAGGCTGGCCTAAATATTGAAGGCGAAAGAGGATGAACATATACATGAGAAAATCAAGGAGATAAAAGATGAACAAAAACCCATTTTTTTACATATAGTAGCAAGAAATTTCCACTCTACTCGGTCAAAAGCTTTCATCATATCAAGCTTAAGAGCCATAAAGCAGTTCTTGCCATATCTTTTACTATTCAAAAAGTGGATACATTCATTAGCAATGACAAAATTATCAATGAGCTGCCTACCGGGCACAAAAGCAGCCTGATGAGGACTGATACAGACAGACAAAACTTGTTTAAGCCTATTGGCCAGAATTTTGTAGATAATTCTATGAGTGACAATGCAAAGACTTATTGGTCTAAATTCTGAAAGGGATTGGACATTTGGATTTTTAGGGATAAGAGTAATAACAGTGAGATTAGTGGCTTTAGGCATTCTACCAGTCATGAAAAAATGCTGAATAGCTTGAAATAAAGAGTCTTTAATGGTGTTCCAAGAAGACTGAAAGAAGTGAGGGGACATACCATCAATGTCGAGGCCTTTTCTACAACTGAAGATCTTTTGATTTTTTTTTTATTTTTAATTTTTTGCTTTTTTTTTGTGGGTAATGGCTCAGCTCAATCTTCAACCAAAAAGCTGAACATTTTTTGCAGACGGCAAAAGCAAGGCTTTTATATGTCCACTTCTTGTAATTAAATCAAGATATAAGGGTTTTTTTGTCATTTGACAGAGCCATTTAGGGACAATAGTGAAATTTTATAATATCGAAATGTGGGATAGAAATGATCCCATCTCCAAGCCGGGACAAATTTTATCAGCGAATGAGTGATTACTGCGTGGGACCCATAAGCCACGTTAGAATAATCTTTCAAACTATCAAGCGTAGTAAACGACGGATTTCGACCTTATCCTATCATATTCAGCCAAGTAAACGAGGCATGTTCGTTAAGTAGGCAAGATTAGATAAGACTACCAAATTCTGGATAAGACTATAAATGGAGGAAGTACGATTAGGTAATCGGTCTAAGCTTTTCTTTGGAGCCATTTGGACTGACCTGTTTACCCCGATTATCTCTGTTTTCCTTTGGCGCCTTCTTTTGTATCGAATTCCGATTGACTTTTTGTTGCAGGTGAGGGGGTTTCCTTCCCCACGTGGTATTACTGTTGTGCTGAGACCGGTGATTTATAGACTCGGGCTTTTGTCCACATGTTTTAGAGAGTGAGGTTGCGAAGAGAGTGTGAGAGTATTGTCACATATACTCGTATACTCTTGCCCACTACAAACAGTTTCTTTGTGCTCTTGATTTTTTTCTCATAGTGCATGCACTTTTGACACGTGAGCTTTCTCATTTCTTGTCTGATCATGTGGTTTATCT